CATTGAAATTTCAGAATCAGGAGGAGATATTGTTAAAAATAGGTCTATTTATAGGGAGTATCGTTGAAGTTATGTCTATTTACAGAGAGTGATGTTGAAGTTATGTCTATTTACAAATGGTGTGGATAAAATTGATCCTATAAAATATTCAAGATTATTTTTGTAAATTAGCAATTGTCGTTAATGCTGTAATTCGACAAGCACTGACAGGGGTGACAATGAAGTTTTAGAATCGAGGGATAGTGTCATTGAATTTAAACCTAATTACAGGGAGTGTGAATGAAATATTTCCTTAATTTAATAGCATAAACAATAAATGAAAAGAATAACGTTTTTTTAAAAAGCATTAAGCTGGATAGTTACTCATTTAATGGCGAGAGAGTTTACTTTAAGTGTCGAAGAATTTTGATTTATTAGGAGCATAATTAATTAAATGAGTTGACTTTTATGGATTCTAAAGGGATCGTTAGAACTTAGAAGGCTGGTGGGTTTAATACTGTTGCAAATTAAGGATAATTGAAGTGGTAACAGATACGATCGCTAAACCTACATAAAATTTGAATTTTGGTAATTTTTTAAAATTTATTCATTAAAAATTTATCATTCATGAATACTCTAATCTCAGGAGAAATGACATGTCTTTGACAAGTGAGAGAATTAATTAAGGTGTACATAAGTTGGTCCAAACACATTCACCGTTAAAACTTAAAAATAAAAAAATAAAAACTGCTACAAATTGTTATTACTTGTTACTGTATATTTTAGGCATGAGTGGAGTTAAACTTGCTATAGATTGGGCTTTTCCATGGTTTTAATTTGTTTCGGGGGTCAAAAATTGGGAAATTTGAAGACTGGTCCTCCTATATGGACTGTTTGGATTTAAGTTCGTCAAGAAATTTTTTTTGTTATGAAGTCCATTTTTTGTCAATTTTACCATACTATCCCTTTCCTTTAGAAATAAAATCAAAACTAAAAATTAAAAACTCCTAGATCTTAGGAGTTTGACTAACATTAAAATATTTTCTCTCTCATATCTATCTATATTCATACATAGGTTAAGAGTTTAACAAAATTTTAAATTTTTTCTCTCTTATATCTATATATATATATTGTAACATTAGAAATAAAAAATAGTAACATTTAATCATAAAAAAATTGAAATATTCAATATTAATATTTTTAAAAAATAACGATAGTAACATATTCAACAAAAATATTAACATGTTCAACAAAAATAATAACATACTTAACAATAACTGTAATATACTTAACAATAATTATTTCTCTTACATTCAAACGCAAGAAATAGTACCATTCAAACACAAAAAATAATAATATTAAAAAATAAAAAAATAATAAAATTGAATATTAATATTTAGGACAATAATAGTAGTAACATATTCAACAAAAACAGTAACATACTCAAAATAATAGTAACATAAACAGTAATATACTCAACAAAAGTAGTAATATCAATAGTAACATAATAAAAAAAATAGTAACATGTAACATTCAATTTAACAAATTAACTCTCACAAAAAATACCATAAATTACATAAAATAAAAAATTAACAAGAACCAGAGATTCTCATCCGTTACCCACAAAATTGAAATAATTCAAAAAAAATTAAAAGATGAACATTGATAAAACAACTCCACTAGCTGGCCAGAGAGAGAGCGCGCTTTGAATTTAAATTTTAAATTTATGATAAAGATTTTATTGATATATTTTAATTGACATTGAATTAAGGAATAACTATATCAAAAATAAGAAATTAATTTAACCTCCTTTCAAAGAAGGGTATTTTTGAGATAAAAAAAAAAAGTGGACTTAAGTCATTACATATAATTTTAAACATGAATTTAGCCATTTATAAGTTTCGTTACAAGACTTATCTCCAAATAAGTACATTTAGGGACTGACTTTCAATTTTCACTTAAAAATTTCTCTCAATATCGAAGTTTTATTTCTTAGATTCGGTGAATATCACGCTAACTTTTTATTGAGATTTACAAAATAATAATATGTACTTGGATTTCCCTCACTTGAATTCACGATAGGATTAACCACTGAAACAAATTAAGCTTTATTAGTTTAAGAAAAATTGGATCCCAATATTTAAAAAACAAAGAAAGAAAATTGTGTGGGAGGGTTTATTGAAAATTTTGTTTGGTACTACGGTGAAAGACACTCTAAATTAAGATCAAATTTACAATTCTACTTGCAGAGACTAAGATAAAATGAGTTTCAATAGTATTCGAAATTGCTATACTCAGTAATAGAACTATTGTGTGAGGCTCAATGAGGGCTTTTATAATTGCTTGGGTTAATGGGGAAGTGAAGGTTGATGTTAGATCAAAGAACAAAATATAAGTGGTTCACTTCAGCTGAAAGACCAAGACTATGTTCCCTATAATTTAGGTTCTTTGCACCTCGGGGGTTGTATTATTTGAAGACGAAGACAATGGGTTCTTGGCTGAGAGCTTTTTTTACGCAATATCCTGAAAATAAAATTCAAGAACTCTCTTTTATAGTGTTTTCGTTTTCTATTTATACACGTGATCATCTAAGGTTTCTATGATTCTTATTTTTCTTAGCTAATTATGTGGTCCACTCTTCATTTGTCTTGTAGTGGGGCCTGTCACCCTGACGCATTTTTGTGCCCACGATCTTCAAATTGAATGTATCTAAATATTCTCTTTATTAAAAAATATTTGTTTGTTAGGGTCATNTCTGTCACCCTGACGCATTTTTATGCCCACGATCTTCAAAATGAAATGTATCTAAATATTCCCTTTATCAAAAAATATTTGTTTGTTAGGGTCATTAGAGGTTGTTCCCCTGTCCATTGGACACACTGTGTGACGGTAGCTGCTTTGGATTTATTTTGTACCAAACTCCTAGTTCTCAAGCCGGTTCATTTAGCCATAATTGAGACGATCGAGCAGACATATACCGAGTCGGATGGCTCTGGACTTCGTGCCCTATGCTATGGCCACTTTCATGATGAAGTGGGCGTCACAGGTGAGCCGTTAAGGTTGCTTTTTAAGGAAGCCCGCCGAAAGTTTTGGACCCCAAATAGACTGCCTAAATCTACCATAATCAAGTTTGGCTCAAAACGATTCTAATTAAATTTTTTTTTTTTGGTGTCATAACTTGCCCTCCATGCATTGAACGTCACTAGACCCGGATCAAGTTTTGGTAAATTGTGCGACTACTTTGTTAGCATCAATCTTACGTTTGAATAAGGGATTATTGTGTGATATTGAGATGAAAAAGATTAAAATATCTTATATCAATACATAAATTTTTAGTATATAAGAACACTTTTATAAACTAAAAATCACATATTATATGGTAATTGGTTTATATGATGAAAGTATGAGACATTAAATGTCACTTTAGCAATGGACCTATACTAAAATACTTTTAATATAAAAAATTATAACTTAATTCAAATTTAATATTAAATAATAATTAATTATTTATAAATTCATCATACAATCTTAAATAAATTTATTCAACAGTAATTAATATTTCTTTCAAAATTATTTATATTATACCGTATTTTTCAAACACGAGTTACCCATATTTTATTAGGAAGTTTTACTACACTAAAAATCACTCAAGTTGCGGGTTGTGGGTCAATAAGCATGTGGATTATTCAACCCGCAAATCTCGGTCTCTGAGATAGATAGAAGAAGATGCTCTGCACAATTTGGAAAACCTTGGCCCAATTTGCAGGTCTGTATTTGACTTCCACAGTTTGACTTTGACCCCAGATCATACGTGAAATCTGATTTTCCACATAATTACAATCAACAAAGTCAACAAACTTTCTTTGTGAGAAAAGAAAAATGCGAAACGGTCAAAACAATCAAAATTTTTCTACTTTCAATGAAATCAAATGAATCAGTCCTATAACCAAAATTCTAAGTGTTTCATAATATTTTGAAATATTTACATAATTATTTTAAAATGTTTCAAAATATTTTAATATACTTCAACTAATGTAGTTGAAAAAAAATAATTTTTAAAATTTTTATTTATTTCTATTCTATTTTTGAATCAGGTCTAAACATTTTCGAAACGTTTTTGTTTTTTATATCACCGAAATAAAATTTTGATCTTTGACTGCGCGTTTAACCTTTTTTTCCTTGGTTTTATTTATGTACATGAAAGTTGATTTATTTACTGCATTCCACTTGATGAGATTCAAACTTCGATATTTGATTCCTTCATATTTGTAATTTTACAACTACCCTTTTTTTTTTTTTTGATCAGAATTTTACAACAACCTTGAAAGATCAATTAAACTAAACTGTAAACCAATCCAACAACAGTTTCTCAAAATTGGATAGGATGCATGATCATGGTGTAGCAAAAATTATCTCACAAAGACGACTTGTAGAAAAGACTTCTTAAGTTCGAGTTTTTATAATTTTTTGAGATCGGATCATGAAAAATTTATTTTTTATAAATATCTTACTCTCAATATACATGGACTATTTTTGACCGATCTTAAAAGAAAAATTAGTTAAAATTCACATAAACTCTGAAAAATCCCCGACCGTTAAACAAAAAAAAAGTATATCATAAACTTTGGGCCTCTTTTTAGTTTGCTTTAACCCAAATTGGTAGCCCAATTTAACCAACTTAGGATACAATAGTACTGTGACTTGACAAACCCGAAGCTGACAAATGGATTCGGGTCGTGTACTTTTATTCTTGCGCGCAAGCCACGAAATGATGACGTCAAAGCGAAAGCCGTGCCCGCGACGATCACTGCTATTCAATCTCGTCCAAATAAAACGGTATCGTTCGTTTTGTGAAACGACGCCGTGCTCCTATGGAGACAAACAGCCTACAGTGATTAACCGTTTCAACTACCATACGAAATTGACATGTTCTGAAGCCGCAGAGGCCAGAGAGAGAAAGAGAGATGGAGATGGAAAGGGAGGGTAGAAGGAGGAAAATAGTAGGGAGAAGCTCAGATCGAATGGCACTAATCACCGGCCGTATTGAAACCCTAAATTCGTCGTCATTGTCATCTTCAATCTGTCATCATTCACACACTTCATCATCCCCTGCTTCGTTTTCTCAAGATCCTCCTCCTCATGATCAGCCACAACCACCCAATTTCCACGGTACTCTCTCTCTCTCTCTCTCTGCGTAAATCTAATATGTATGCTATAGCTGTATAATCAATTGTTATCTTCGTTGTTGTGCCAAATAGAAGATTGTTGAATGGAGAATTGAATATGTACTTGATATAATTCAAGGCTAATGATGGGTCATTCTTTAACTATACGTGTGAGTGCATTTTTCTGTTTGCGGATGTATCAATTCGACAATTAAATGGTGAAACATGAAATCATACATAAGAGATGTGTAATGGATCGAGATTTTGTTAACAAAGGCGAAAGGAAGCTGTGAAACTCCGCATTGACTGAATTCTACGTATTGATTAATATATATAGAAGCAATGATTACATGCGATAATCAAATGCAGGACTTTATGACAAAATAATCCTCCGTATACAACTGATACAAAAATGAATATGTGATCTTTTGTCCATGTGATCAAAATTGGGTTGAATGACACAGAGGTTGGACCCAAACTGTTTGGGTTTTTCCGCGGTTAATCTTTTGGTGAAGACATCTGCGGGTTGATCATTGCTAAAAGATGGTGAACTTATGAATACCCCATGCAACTCTCTTCCTGACAAAAGGATTATAAATTACAATATGCTTCGTTTTTGCATTTTGGGTTGGATTGGCATCGAGATACGAGGCAGGTTACATGAGATAACAGAATAGAGGAATTAAATTTATATGCATTATTAGTGATATTTTAAGGCATCATGGTGAGCAAGAAGTCGAATTTTATATCATTTTTCTTTTCCTTACTTATGGATAAAATGCTCTTGATAATAATCATACGCTGCAATGTGGCCTTTGACATTGTTGATATTGCCATTATAGATTCCAAGGGTGAAGTTGACGACTCTGTTACACCACTTAAACATGAGACTGTTGAGGGATTTTCAAGAGGAAATGCATTTGAATTCGGGAGCAGAGGAAAACAAATTGACACAAATACTGAAGCAATACGAGCTCCTGCTGTGGAATTCAGGGAAAGAGTAGAACTGTCATCTGTTGCTGCTAGAGTCCCAAACGCATCAGATTATACAGAACTATTATCAAAAGCATGTGGAAGATATCTCAACTTCTTCACTCTAAAGGACATAAATTCCTGCATCGTGGCTTCAGAAAATACAAGAGTTTTCTGTTCTATTATAATAGCAGTCTTGGTAGTTCTATCACATACCAACCTTCCTCGGAACATAGTGAAGTCGAAGAGCATCATAGCCTCAAAGCCCCTTTATGTTCTCTTGCTAACTGACCTTACTATTGTGCTTGCACAACTAACTCTTGAGAAGCGGAGAGACTCTGAAAAGGACAAGGAAGAAAAAGAAACGGTCTCACAAAAAGATGGACATAATTGGAGAGGAGCAATTAAGATTTTGGAAGTGGGATTAGTGTTGCACCAGACAATGAGGGCGATATTAATAGATTGCAGTTTCTATGTGGTAATAGTCATCTGTGGCCTTTCCCTCGTGTAGCCAAGTTGCTTTGGTTGTGGAGATGATCAGACACAGCTCCTTAGCTCACTCCAAGCGCTTTAGCAAATTATGCTTTTTCTGTTTGATTCTATTCATTCTTTTATTTCGACCAAATTGATTTGCATGATATTACTCCCGTTGTGTTTAATTGAATTGCCTTCCAACAAAAGGAAGCTTACTTGTTCTGCTATTCTATTGCTGAATGGCCTTACATTTTTTTGTGAGGAATCACACAATCCAGTTTATGCAATCATGAATCAGTAATTCTCCATGAGTAATCTGCTTTGAATTTCTCTCATAATGTGGTGAATTTACAATGTGTAAGACACACCATCAATTAGAAACTGGTTTGTCTGGCATTTATCAGTATGGCAACCATATTTTTGAGACAGTCCTTTGGACGTCTGCTGGAACCATGGACTGTTATATTATGCCATGCTCTATTGTGATCCTTATTTTCATGTCCATTAATCATTTATGTGAGCTTTGCTGTCCTCTTGGTTATTGCGCATCTTATGGAAACCTTATCAGTGGATTGCGTGTAAGTATGAATAAAATCCAGAAATTGGTCAAGTAATATATTTCTAACTTCAGAATTCAGATGCTAGTTAAGCTCATTACTTGCTCAACCTTAGGCGGTTGGCAGATGTAAGGAATCATCTGACCTAAACTTTCAGTTCATAGCAATTAGAGGATATGCAAGTTTTTCATAATTAGTAGATTTAAAGAATCGTCAATGGAGATAGTTTGAAACATAGTTGAGTTTTTGTGATTCACAACAATGATGAAGAAATGCCACAAGACTGGAGACACCAGAACTGAGGAATCGAACTTTCACTGATGGGAGAATAATAAATAGAACTTGGAGGCTAAATTTTTGGATAGGTAAAAGTTCCTGCGAAAATTAGATCAGTAAAAATCTCATCAAGAAGATTATCAAACAAAAGCTGGTTAATGGTGTCATGGTGATATGTGATTATTCACTCCTAGTCGTACAATCATAGTTCAAGAAAAAAACTGCTACTAGCTAAAAAGATACCACCATCCCCTTTAACTAGCTGGAAATTTTTGTTCATATCAAGCAAAAAAATTGTTTTCGAAACTAAAAGAGGATTCTTCCTATGAAATTATTTGTATTCATGCACTTTATGTTCCCTTATTTTTCTATCCATTTTTTCAGTTGTCTCTTTCCCATCCAGCCTCAATAATCTTTCGGATTCCAACTCAGCACCTTTTGAGGGAGATTTTGTTCAAATCTTCCTTTTCTTCCGAAAAAAAGGTAGATCTCTCTAGTTCCTATTTAGTTCCTTTTGTTTCGGAAGTTGATCGGAAAAGAATCAAGAGAAAAGAGAGAATCGGAATTGTACTTAAGCAAGAGCCTTTACTTACGCTCCTTTAATAAAGGTTAGTGCTTAAAAACAATTGATCAATGGACCAAATCAATGGTCAGCTTAAATATTCTTTCACAAAGAGAAACAGCGTTTGAAAGTTTCATCAGCCACTCTTGAACCCCATAAAGGATCATGTGTACTACTAAGTACTAAGTCACCGAGTTGTTCAATCTTGCCTCCCCAGGTTGAGTTTTTGCTAAGCTCCTAAACAATCGTTTCTCACATATGTTTTGCTGTTGTACATGCTCATTTACTTATGAATCAAGCATTAAGACAGATTTATCGAACAACTCAATTGAACCTTGTTCTAACTATTTGGAGTTGGCTAATACCAAGACAGTTGTTATTGCACCTCATTTCGGGGCGATACATTGTGGTCCACCAGCAGAACAACTCATTGTTATGAGACAGCTTGATCCTTATGCAGACTGATATGGCTGCACTATGACTTGTCTAATCCCATAAGCCCCACAGGAACCCTTGTAGATATAAGTTAGTATCAATACCATCAACAAGCATGCAAAAACATAAAGGCATCAGCTAGGGAGCCAGAAAACTTAATCTTCCTGCTACTAAAAAAGTGGAAGAGGCAAATAAAAAATATAAATATTTTTAAGGGCCCAAATATAAATAACTTAAAATCCCGTGCTAAAATTTTCAAATTGTTAGACCCTTTTTTTTTTTGGGAGTTGGGGGGGGGGGGGGGGGG